GTCGCTTAAACTTCCGGCCTTTGTTGCCCAAACGACCACAATGTCGCTTAAACTTCCGGCCTTTGTTGCCCAAACGACCACAATGTCGCTTAAACTTCCGGCCTTTGTTGTCCAAACGACCACAATGTCGCTTAAACTTCCGGCCTTTGTTGCCTAAACGACCATAATGTCGCTAAAACTTTGCAGTCCGACCGGCAATTGACCGACCGTCATAGCCGCTCGGACTCGGGGGGCTATACACGCGTTTTTTCGCGTTTGCCTCCATACCTTTGCAGTCCGACCGGCAATTGACCGACCGTCATAGCCGCTCGGACTCGGGGGGCTATACACGCGTTTTTTCGCGTTTGCCTCCTTACCTTTGCAGTCCGACCGGCAATTGACCGACCGTCATAGCCGCTCGGACTCGGGGGGCTATACACGCGTTTTTTCGCGTTTGCCTCCTTACCTTTGCAGTCCGACCGGCAACTGACCGACCGTCATAGCCGCTCGGACTCGGGGGGCTATACACGCGTTTTTTCGCATTTGCCTCCTTACCTTTGCAATCCGACCGGCAATTGACCGACCGTCATAGCCGCTCGGACTCGGGGGGCTATACACGCGTTTTTTCGCGTTTGCCTCCTTACCTTTGCAGTCCGACCTGCAACTGACCGACCGTCATAGCCGCTCGGACTCGGGGGGCTATACACGCGTTTTTTCGCGTTTGCCTCCTTACCTTTGCAGTCCGACCGGCAATTGACCGACCGTCATAGCCGCTCGGACTCGGGGGGTTATACATGGGCCGTGATTAGACCCAAAACGACATCGCTTGAAGGCAAAAATAAAAGACATAACGCAAACACGATAAATAAAAGTGGGATAAACCGAATGAAAAACAAAATGTCATTAAGACCGGTCGAGTGAGCGTTTAAAACGCCCGGCACAGTGGGGCCGGGCTCCCAGGCAGTAGCTACAGACAAAGGTAAAGAAAACCCCGAACGTCAGTTGACGATGCTTCACTTCGCGGGGTCCTTCTCGACAGCAGTGGAGGGCTCGGCTTCGGTTTCCGTGTAAGGCATCGGACCGGGGTCGGCGACGCTCTCCGGGAGGTTAGTCAAAATGGTGTTGAGATCATCTCCCTCGAACACCTCGGTCAAGGCGGATCTCACCTCCCGATGCGTGTCCCGCTGACCGGAAGCATAAGCCCAATTGCCGAAGACCCACATCATATCTTCGGCCACCTTGTGCTTGATGAACTCCCGGAAAAACCGCTCGGCGATCGCCGGGTCTTGACATAGGTTGGCAGCCAAGCCAACCGGATCCTGTAGTCGTAGGCGGAGGTCCTCCGCTTCCTTCCGGGCTGCGGCAGTCTCCCCGAACGCCTTTTTTGCGATGGCCTCGGCAATGTCTTTGCCGTCCTCAGCCGTTTTCAGCTTCTTCTTCAGCTCCTTCACCTCCTTCTTGAGGGCATCACTCTCCGACCCGCCCTTCGAGCGGTAGTAGAGCGACGTGAGCACCCGGGTGAGTTGAAATAAAATAAGTTAGCCGAACGAGCAGACTTGAGATTTAAACTAGAGAAAGGAAGTAAGTATACCTGCACGAGACTCTGTGCACCGCGCTCGCAGACCTGCTCGGGGGTCCACCCGACCATATCATCCTCAGCCGGGAAGATGGCGCTCATCTTGGCCAGCGGGTTGCCCGGGAGGTCGCCGCCCGTCAGCGAGTTCATGAGAGGGGTAAGGTCGGGAGGACTTTGGCGGCGTGCCCGCTTGACGGCCCCCTCTGACTCCCCCACCTTCTCCTTGCTACGTTTGCCCGTGGCCCTAATGATTTGCAAATCCGACCCGCTGCTCAGGGTCGGACCCGACTCGTCAACCCGGGCGGTTGTGTCAAGTGGAACCGCCGTCGGGACGGACGTCACTGGAACGGCCGTCAAAGGCGCGTCGGGCGCCACCGTCTTCTTCCCCCAAGAGCGGCCTTGGGTCGGGGAACTTTAACGGCCGAAGGAGCCGTCTGGAAAGTACGTCCGGGCTTCATACCTGCGAGGAAGTAACAATTGGTTAGCCCCTACCAAAAGAAAGAACGGGGAAGACAGAAGAGAAGTCCCATCGCCCGTAAACGATCCACTAACGGACCTTCCTGATCGGAAGCCAACGCGACCGGTGGCGCAGCAACCGTCAGCTCGAGACGCCGAGGGACGTACTTCTCCGGTTCGTCATATCGGGGCGGTTCAAGATGGGCTTCCTCGTACTCAGTGGCCGACCTGAAGATACGGAACTCGTAATACTCGGAAGAAATCTTGGCCGCAGCGTCCTTCAAAGCCCGAGTGGGAGAGGGACGCTTGCACGCAGTAAAGTGGCGCGACCAAGACCTCTTAACCGGGAGCCGCCAAGGATACTCGATCGAGATCAACCGGTTCTTCCAGCCGCGATTGTTTTCCGGGAGATTGACGATGTTGCAGTGATGACTCCGGGTCTGAGCAGCCAGAAATCCGCCCCCGTACCGAGCCGCGAGCGGATGAACCGTGTATAGAAAGTTGAATAGCTCGACAGTGCAGACTAAACTGTGCCGGGCGCAGATCTGGGGAAAGCACGCTATAATCCGGTGCGCATTAGGGCATATCTGGCCCGGGAGAACGCCGTAGTGCCTCATGAAGGCGAGGAGAAAGGGGCTGAACGGGTAGGACAGGGGAGTCTTGATGGAGTCCAGGTGCATCCCCAACCAAAGCCCCTGCGTCCGTTCGACGACCGTCCCTTGGGACCTCCGGGTGTTGAACAGCACTTGCCCGGTCAAGATGGTAGCAGCGTCCTCGGCCTCCTTCTTGGTGAGCTTGCTCTGGTGCTTCTCGGCGGACATGCTGCTCAAAAAAACCCTCTTCTTAGATAGCAAGTCGTCAGCCAGTTGGGCTGCCGACCTGGGAGACAGCGAAGGGTCCAAGGCCGCGGCCATAACGCCCGGCGGCAAGCCCCGTCCCTCGTTGCCATAGCTTGGGAGATCCTGCCCAGAAGTACCGGGCGCCCCGACAGAGTCACCCTGTTCGCTCGGCCCGCAGCGCGGCCGGTCTTCCTCCGTAGCGTGACCGGGCGTGGGAGCTTCGCTCGGTACACCACTGCCACCGGTCCGCCCGACGGCCAGCGTGTTATCAGCATCTGCCCGAGGAGAGTGGGCACCGCCGTGGCTCGCCGAATCGGAATGACGGGATGAACTACTTTCGGACTCCGTTCTCGCCGACCCATCGTCGCTGCCGGCTGCGTAATCCCGTGCCGAGCAGTTTTGGCTGTCAGAACTCGACATGCTTGCGCCCCTAAAAGTTCAAGGGGGAGAAGTAGTGTTCAGACGCCGATGCCCCACTTAAAAGACGCCCGAGTCAACGACCGACCTATCTCTAAGGGCCTAAACGATTCTAGGATCATAAAGATAAGGAGAGAAGGGAAAGAGAAGAAGAACTCACTTACCGGTTGAGAAGACTTAGAAGCTGCGTTGAAATTTGGGATGGCCGGTCGGGAACGTCCGGTTGTTGGCAAGAAATAAGGAAAGCGTAGTGGGACCCCAGCCAAGCCACTATTTATAGGGGCGAGAAGCTGACGCAGAAACGCCTCGCGTCCCGCTTTTTGGGCTCGTATCGCGAGGGACGGCGCAACTGACGCGTGCCTCGCCTTGTCCAAGAACGGCCCGTGATGCGGGTGCAGGTGATCCGCGATCCATGAGAGTTCAACCCCGGACACACTCCCCCATGGCCTTGGCTCGCGCTCCTCCTCCAGCAAGGCGCCGTCTGGCCCCGAGCCAGGGGGGCTATGTGATAGGGATATATGTTCGACCCTAAGGATGTACGCCCGGTGCCCGACCGTATCGAGACCGGGTCACTACCCGACCCTTGGAAGTGAGCCCCTACCCTTCCCGACCGGCCGACCGGTAAGGGTCAGTAGACACGGTCGACCCCGGGCAGCAGGACACCTCGAAGAACCCGCCGGGAAGTGACCGGTTTGCTGGGCGATCCCGACCGGAGGCCCTCGGACGACTCTCGGCCAGAGGGGAGGAAGAGTCAGACCTCTAGCGCCGCGTGGCAGACGTCGACACGGCCGCAGGTAACACCCGGTGCATGCCCACCACGTGTCTAACATGCCGGAGGCCCGGCGTGACCCACCTTTCTGACCCTATAAATAGCGCATTAAATGCACCTTGGAGGGGACTTTTAGGACGAGGCAAGACCGGACCTTCCCGACCCGCGTAAGAGATCCGAGCCTTACTTACGACCGTATAAATATACCACTCAGTATAAACAGTATCAAAAATGATTTTCAAGATTCCTGATTTATAATATTTGATGCTCAATTTTAAATGCTATGTATTTAGTCGGGCTAATTATTTGATCAAAGTTTATGTTAAATTTTATATTGTATTTTTTAAAATAATATGTTTAACAATTATGTCAACTCTGATTGGATGAGGTTCGAACATAAGACCTTTCTTATATAAGTTAATGAGTTAGGTAAGAATTATAAATAGTTAACGGGATGTTTTGTTAATAAAGTTTATTCTAACAGGATGTAGAGTTATTTAAGGGAAAAAAATAATATAATAGAGGGTAAATAAGAACAATGTAATAGAGCTAGTAACATTCAAAAAAAAAAAAAAAAAAAAAATTATAAAAAAATATTAGAATCAAAATAATATAAACCATTCATTTTAACAAACAATTATATCAATATTTTTTTTTCGTTAAGGGTCTAATTTTATTAAATCTTATTAGATTTATTATTATTGTATATATTTGTATTTGTATGTATTTATTTTCTTTTAAGGACCTAACTTTATTGGCTCTTATTAGATTTGTGTATTGTATGTATGTATTGTTTTTGTAGATGTAGATTTGATACCTTTATTCTGGAATATTCTAGTGGGCGAATTTTTCTTTTTTATTCGAAATATATACAAGACACTAAGAAAACGTTAAAGAAAAAAAAAAAAGAAAAGTAAGACCACTTGTCACGTGACACACCGCATCCAAACCCTTTTAATACACAGCCACGGCTTTACCCTTCCTCTGTATCCAACCACACTGCCGCACTAACTCTCTCTCTCTCTCTCTCTCTCTCTCTCTCTCTCTTAAACTCCGCCATGGCGAAAATCAAGATCGGAATCAACGGTGCCATCTGCTTTCCCGTCTTATATCAATTCCTTTGATTTTTCTCTGCAGAGAAGTGAGGCCAATAAAAGAAGGGATGTTTACGGTGATTTTCTTGATTTGGTTTCAGGATTTGGAAGGATTGGAAGGTTGGTTGCCAGGGTTGCTCTCCAGAGAGAAGATGTCGAGCTTGTCGCTGTCAACGATCCATTCATCACCACCGAGTACATGGTATTTTTTTTTTTTTTTTTTTTTTCATTTTCGGTGACTTTATGATGTAGTGTTATATTTTTCAAATATGGGTCGATGGATCTGTTTAGGCTTATAAGATATATATATGGGGTTTTTTGTTTTTTGTGGTAGACATACATGTTCAAGTATGATACAGTACATGGTCAATGGAAGCACAAGGAACTGAAGGTCAAGGACGAAAAGACCCTTCTTTTTGGTGAACAGGAAGTTAGAGTCTTTGGGATCAGGTATGGAATGGTGTGCTTGTTTCAGATCTGGGATTTTTGGTCTTTGTTTTTTTTTTAAGATTTCTTTCTTTGAAAAATTGTTGTGATGAGCTTGATCTATGGATTTTCAGAAACCCAGAAGAGATCCCATGGGGTGAAACAGGTGCTGACTATATTGTGGAGTCTACTGGAGTCTTCACTGACAAGGACAAGGCTGCTGCTCACTTGAAGGTTTGATATTCATCTCATTTCATTCCTTTTTGTCTTTAGGCCTACTTTTAATTTTGAAATCAAGCTAGGTTATGCGATATTGTGCAGCCTATCTGACTATCTTAATCTGCATAGACTTGTCATAGTTTTAGTAAAATGATTTGTAGAAGAACCAATTGATAGTGATCTTGAAAAGAATTTTGGCCTGAATCTGTTATTGCAATTTTTTTTTTAATGTGTGGCTGTTTAGATGCCTCAAATAAGTATTTGTTTATTGTATTTTTATTCATTGAAATTGTGATTATTTGAATGGAAGGTAAATTAGTCACTTAATGATAATTGAATTCAAGTTTGTTGTATATATATAATTGAGTAATTAAACTATCTACTTGGTTGGTTTGATAAGGGTGGTGCTAAGAAGGTTGTGATATCTGCTCCTAGCAAGGATGCCCCAATGTTTGTTGTGGGAGTGAACGAGAAGGAATACAAGCCCGAGCTTGACATTGTTTCCAATGCTAGCTGCACTACTAATTGTCTTGCTCCCTTGGCCAAGGTTACATAAAAGCTCCAATAGCTTTCTTTTTATTTGTTAGTGGATTTCTGTGGTCTGTTCTGACTTATGTTGCCTTTATGTTGTCTGCAGGTCATTCATGATAAGTTTGGCATTGTTGAGGCTCTGATGACTACTGTCCACTCCATCACCGGTTGGTAGTTGTACTTGTTTATGTCATGTATTATGTTATTACTCATTTGGACTATTGTTTGTATGGGATATCAAACCGTTCATATGCTTTCCAGCTACTCAGAAGACGGTTGATGGTCCATCCATGAAGGATTGGAGAGGTGGAAGAGCTGCTTCATTCAACATCATTCCTAGCAGTACCGGAGCAGCCAAGGTGGGAATGGTTAAATTTTTATTCCGGTTTGGTTGTTTCAATAAATGCTATTATGGGTACATTCGATCACTTTGGTTAATTTGCATGCATTGTTATGTAGGCTGTTGGGAAGGTACTCCCAGCCCTTAATGGAAAGTTGACTGGAATGGCCTTCAGAGTTCCCACTGTAGATGTTTCTGTGGTTGATCTTACTGTGAGAATCGAGAAAGAAGCCTCCTATGATGAGGTCAAGGAGGCTATCAAGTAAGCTCTTTTTGATATCTTGTGGAATTAATGAAGCTGGCAGTTAAATATTTTGGAAATATCATTGTTACTGAAGGCACTAGGCGCTAGTTGGGCACGGCCCCCTAACGCCTAGGTGGCCACCTAATTTTCCGCTCAAATGATGTTTGTTTGAGCGGAAAACCAATTAAAAAAAAGTTCCGGCCGGCTAGCAACCCTGCCTACACCCTTTTTTGCCTTGGCCTAGGGGTGCTTAGCGCCTAGGTGGTTGCCTAGGCCGATTTTTACAACACTAAAATATATAATTAGTGCTCGGACATTGCTCATTTACTTGTATACAAACTTGATTATCTTCAGGGAGGCAGCAAATGGGCCACTGAAAGGCATCATTGGTTACACTGATGAGGATGTGGTGTCCACTGACTTCGTTGGTGATAACAGGTGAATAATTCGTCCACCTTATCTCTTGCATTGTATCTAGATACTGTTGTCTGTGGAATGGAATGCATTTGACGAGTGTAAATTGGTGTATAATAATTGCAGGTCCAGCATCTTTGATGCTAAGGCTGGAATTGCTTTGAACAAGAATTTCCACAAACTTGTTTCGTGGTATGACAACGAGTGGGGCTACAGGTAAACGATTGTTCTTCTTAATGTTTCTTTGCATAGCCTAGCCTAGCCTAATGTCTAGTTTGGATGCTAACTTCACCTTCATGTCTTGCAGTACCCGTGTGATTGATTTGATCTGCCATATGGCTTCCGTATCCAAGTAAGGACGAGGCTTTGGACCGTCTTGAGAAGTGGTAGCATTTCCTTAGAGTTTTGGTTTGTAGTTCTTGATAAGATGAGAATTTAAATAAGCCAGATGAGAGCCTCTATGTTTTTTTTTGAACATCTTGAACTAGATGTTATTTTGATGGTGGTGGTGGATATGTGCCACGCCACGCCTTTCATGGTTGCCTAACATTTATTCAACTTTAATAAAGCATGGTGCATGCATCCTTTTGTGTCATCTTTTATTCCGTCGACTTTTATTACTGCCCCACTGCAAAGCGTGATACCTGAGCTGGGGTTGGTTGAGAATCAATCGACTGGGCTCCACTCCTTTAGAATCTGGCTTTTATCACTTATTGAATTGAATAACTCAGCCTTTTTTGACAGCTTGCTTGTTTAGTTGTATAGGGATCGTTTACTAACTTTGAGGAATGGAGAATTTTTCAGAAAATTGAAAGAAGTGGAAAAAATAATGTTTACTAAATTTCTTCTTTCAATTTTAATTTCGTCTCCATTTTTTTTTCACTCCTTGTATAATTTTGGAGAGACAACATTCTCCAAATGGAGATAAGGAATGACACGGGGAAAGTGGGGAACAGTATCACGGATGAACAGTGCGTGAGGTCCTGCGGTCAATTCTTGCTTGCAGCTCCTTCGTCTGTTTTGTTTTGTTTTTCCCCAGTTTCTTTCTTCTTTTTCTTTTTCTGTTTTCTCGCCCCTTTCGTTTTTCCCCTCATTTCTTTCTTCTTCTTCTTTTCCTTTTTTTTTTTTTTTTTTTTTTTTTCTTTTTCATTTCTTTCTTATTATTACTACTATTACTATAATTTTATTATTATTATTATTATTATTATTATTATTATTATTATTATTATTATTATTATTATTATTATTATTATTATTGCAAATTGCAGATGATTTCTTCACTTTTGTATGTTATGTTTAGATGTAATTACAAAATTCAAATATAGATTTTTTATGCCTCTACAGACGATGATATTTATTTTTATAAAATGTACGCTTATTATTTAAAAGATTTACTTTTGTATTTTTATACATGTTATTATTGTGTAATTTTTTTTATCTTTTATAATCGGTTGTAATTTATTTAGTGTAAGGTTTTTATTGGTGTATTGAAATAATAATAATAATTATTCCAAATGTTGGATTAAATTAATAAAAATTGAATAAATATTCAAAAGACAAAAATACATCTAGTATTGATCATTATATACACACAATGAAAATGGACAACATTACAACAAATGACCACAAGTATTAAAGTAAAAGATAATTTTGGTCCTAGACTTATATAGTAGTATGGACAATTTTAGTCCTCTATAAAAAAAAAGTAGATAATTTGTTGACACTTTTATTGTGACGAGGACAATTTTGGTTCTCCGTCTATATTTTTGTTAGTTGGCTGTCTGAGAGGAGGATAATTGCGTCAATTTACTCTATCTTCTTCTCCAACCTTCAATTCTCTGTAAGTTCAACCTTCAACAGTCACATAGCAACTCACAATTGCAGGGTTAAGAGCCACAAAATGAGATTAGCCATGGCTATTCCTTTCCAACTTCAAAGCTTGAATTCCTCATCGCGAAGAGCAAGCTCTGCAGCTTCTTCCTTGTCGTCATCAAGAGCAAAGTACTGATTCTTCTCAACCGGCATAAATATGTAAAACATTGTTATGTAGAACGCGAGATTCGCAATCTCCTCTGCAGCATTGGCCACCAACTGGTACTTATAAGCAGCAATGGTCCTTAGAGCAAACACCACAATCCTGTTGGTACTTATAAGCAGCAATGGTCCTTAGAGCAAACACCACAATCCTTGTGAAATACAGGTACCCAATCACCACAATATAGAACTGCCTGAAAAGAGTCAATTTGGCTAAGTTCTTGGCAGCCTTCCCACCAGTTTTTATGTTTCCCTCATAGACCGAATCGACCACACAATGGGGAAGATGATTGTGCAGCAGCACATAATATCTACATCAAGAACACCTGGTTCCATGTAACCCAGTCCTTGATGAAAGACCCGGTTTCCCTAATCACCACAAATGTCACATTGGCCAAAACCTGCAGGGGAATCACTATCATCAACACCTTCTTCTCCCTCTCTTGCAAGAACGGCTTCAGGACCGACCAACCAGTTCCAATCAAGATGATAACCGTGAAGAGCAAGACCACGCGGATGAACTGAAGAATGTAGAACAACACATCCCATTCGTGAGCCGTTCCGCTCACCTTCACATAATGCTTGTCCTCCGCGGCGCAGAGCAAGTTCAAGACCTTCATGATGAGTAAACCCGCCATTAGGAGGTGGATCCGGTGGACCGAAGTCTTGTTGGTGTAGCAGATGTACACCCAGAAAGCAAGAAATCCGAAGTAAACTAGGGAGAAAACGAAGTAGAGAGTAGGGATCTGGGTGAGACCCGCGGAGAGATAGTCCTTAACCCGGCCATCTAGGTTGTAGAGCTCGGTACGGACATCCATGGAAACCTTAGATTCCGATGCGCAGTTCGCGAAGAAGAGGGAGTACTCATTGGGGGCCGTGATAGGGTAAGAGCGATTGAAAGAGGAGTTCGGAGGCGGGGAAAGGTTACAGAAGATGAAGAGGAGGTTTATATACTTGGAATTGAGCACGCAGAACTTTTAATACTGAAATCTCATTTTAAAAAATTAAGTTGAACTTACAGAGAATTGAAGGTTGGAGAAGACGAGAGAGTGATTTGACGCAATTGCCCTCCTCTCAGACGGCCATATAACAGAAATATAGTCCGAAGACCAAAATTGTCCTCGTCACAATAAGAGTGTCCACAAATTGTCTGATTTTTTTTTATGGAGTCCGTGCCACTGTAAGTTTAGGACCATAATTATCTTTTACTTATTGTATTATTATTATTAGGAATAAGGTTCAAATTGGCCATTGAATGAAAAAAAAAGTGCAATTAGGTCATTGAACACTCTAAATGTATGCAATTTCACGGGATAACAGGTCATCATCAATTTAGCAGGTTACTTGCTTACGTGTCAGCTGAGTTGACATTTTAAAATAATTTTTAAATATTTTTAAATAAATTTGATTAATAAATTTTAAAAATAAAAAAATTAAAAAAATATAAATCCCGTCGTTTGTTTTCTCTAAAATTATTATTAAAATTTATTAAAAAGTATTTAAAAATTATTAAAAATGCCAACTCAGCTGCCACGTAAGCAATTAACCTGTTAAAATTGATGGTAACATGCTATCAGGTGAAATTGCATACATTTGGAGTGTTCAGTGACCTAATTGCACCTTTTTTTTTTTTTTCGTTCAGTGACCAAATTGCATTTTCAAGTTACGTTGTGTGGCTAATTTCAACCTCCTTCTTATTATTATTATTATTATTATTATTATTATTATTATTATTATTATTATTAGAGAAATGACAAATGGGAGGAATAGGGAATGGAAATTTGAAAATTGGAGAATTTGAGAAAGAAAATTATAAAAATGGAGAAATAGAAAAATAGAGAAATAAAGTAAAAACCTCATAGTGTCAAGTTTTGTAATTGTGGAGATGCAGGCAGGCAGCACTGCATGTGTGCGCAACTTTGGTTTTGTTTTTTGGTTTGTTATTTTTTAATTTTAGTTTTTGGTCTTTTTTTGAATCAATTTGGTGAAATTTTACTGGATTATGCACTCTTACAAGACACGTTATGGAACAGGATTTTTTACTTGTAAATTTTGATCAACTACAAGTTATGATAAAGTTTGTACATGAAAAATGTATTTACCGATGAGCAAAATACCAATTTTGGTCTTATGACTATTAGTAAAATAATAGTTTTGGTTCACATTGTTTAATTTTTTTCAAATTTTTGTCAATAATTATTGTTTTAGTGCCGAAATTGGCTATGTTTGGCAAAACTAGCTGAAAGCTTAAAAGGAGTTGAAAGCTGAAAAGTTATAAGCTAGGAGCTGAAAACTGGAAAGTTGTTAAGCCAGCTGTTATGCTTGAAGTGTTTAGTAAAATTAACTTTTTAATCTACTATATATCTATTATCTACTATACTAATAAGAGCCCAAGAGAGTTAGGCCTATAATGGGTAGAAAAATGGCGGTCAAATTTTTTAATCAAATGAATGGCTCAGATTGATCAGATTCTAATTTTTCCTTAATATTTCCTAAGTTATCCTTAATGAATATGATTATCCGTTAACTTTTCCGTTAAATATTATCTTTTCCGTTAATTTCTGTTAGTTCACCGTTAACTTACTCATCAATAAGAAAGGTCTTAAGTTCGAACCTCATTCCAATCAAATTTGGCATAATTAGTATTTTATTTTACTACTCTTATTAAATTAAATAATAATTTAGTAGCTACAACAAAAAATAATACATATACATTTCTTTAATTTAGAATTATGTGCTTACAATGTCTTTATTCAAAAAAAAAAAATTATTTATTATTAATAAATTAAATAAGAGAAATAATTTCATTAGTTATATTGTCTTTATTTTTCTCCAATATAAAAATTCTTTACATTCAAATTTATCAATTGATTATATTCGCTACATTGTCCCTACAATGTCTTTATTTTTAAAAAACATTATTAATTATCGATAAATTAATTAAGAGAAATAATTGTATTAGTTATATTGTCTTTATTTTTCTCGAATGTAAAAAATTTTTACATTCAAATTCATCAATTTGATTATATTCACTACATTGTCTATTATCTTTTTTGTGCACTATTTTTTTAATTAAATATCAAAGTTATAATACAAAATAAAACTATATATTTATTTACCAAGTATTTTATTAATACCATGAAAAAATTTAAAAAATATAATTAATAAAGTCAATCATATTAACTACTTGAGGGATTTGTTGACAAAGAGAGTATTCAAATCACACAACAAATTAAAGTGAGAACTATCTCGCAATGTCCTTGTTTGACAATCAGCAGTTAGCGGTTAGCGGATTTGACCAACGAATTATATCAACGGTTGGTAAAAAGATCTTTGAAAAAATGAGCTGTTTAGATTAACATGTAAAATGACCTAACAGTATAATAATAATAATAATAATAATAATAATAATAATAATAATAATAATAATAATAATAATAATAATAATAATAATAATAATAATAATAATAATAATAATAATAATAATTGTTTAAAAAAAATAAAAAAAATTATAATTAGCCAATCATGTTAACTACATGGGGGATGTACTGACAAAAAGAGTATTCAAATCACACAACAAATTGAAGTGTGAAATTCACTCGCAATGTCCTTGTTTGGCAATCAGCAGTTAGCTCTTCAATATTAGTATATATTTAATATTTTATGCCCTAATTTTTATTTGCTCTCCCTTATGTCCCGTATTTGGTTTCAACCATACCTATAAAATTATTTTATTGACAATTATAATCATTCTTGACTATATTATCTTGCAATTGTAAACTTAGAATTACCTATTTAAATACGCAAATTCAACATTCAATTATCTATGCATGAACAATTCCAATATAATCTTACCTTGATATACTTTAAAGTACTTATTTAAAATAAAATAAAAAAACATTGGGTATTATCCCAATCGCGCAATGCGCGTAAAAAACTAGTATACTAATAAGAGCCCAAGAGAGTTAGGCCTATAATGGGTAGAAAAAATGGCGGTCAAATTTGTTAATTAAATGAATGGCTCAGATTGATTTTTTTAATCAAATGAATGGCTCAGATTGATTAGATTTTAATTTTTCTTTGAGATTTACTAATTTATCCTTAATTTTATAATTTTCCGTTAACTTTTCCGTTAAATATTATATTTTCCGTTAATTTCTGTTAGTTAACCGTTAACTTACTCATTGATTTCAATAAAAAAGGTCTTAGGTTTGAACCTCATCTCAATCAAAGTTGGCATAATTAGTACTCTATTTTAATTTTATTAAATTAAATAATAATTTAGTAGCTACAACAAAAAAATAATACATATGCATTTCTTTAATTTAGAATTATGTGTCTACAATGTTTTTATTCAAAAAAAATTATTCATTATCAATAAATTAAATAAGAGAAATAATTTCATTAGTTATATTTTCTTTATTTTTCTCCAATATAAAAATTCTTTACATTCAAATTCATCAATTGATTATATTCACTACATTGTCCTTACAATGTCTTTATTCAAAAAAAATTATCAATAAATTAATTAAAAATAATAATTTTATTAGTTATATTGTCTTTATTTTTTCTCCAATGTAAAAAAAAAATTATTTACATTCAAATTCATCAATTGATTATATTCACTATATTGTCTATTATTTTTTTTTGTGCAGTTTTTTTTTTATTAAATATCAAAATTATAATACAAAATAATGCTATATATTTATTTACCAAGTATTTTATTAATACCATGAAAAATTTTAAAAACTATAATTAAGCCAATCATATTAACTACTTGAGAGATTTGTTGACAAAGAGAGTATTCAAATCACACAACAAATTGAAATGGAAAACTACCTCGCAATGTCCTTGTTTGACAATCAGCAGTTAGCGGATTATATTAGCGGATTTGACCAGGAAATTATATCAACCGTTGGTAAAAATATATTTGAAAAGAATAACAGTTTAGATTAGCATGTCACATGACCTAATAATAATAATAATAATAATAATAATAATAATAATAATAATAATAATAATAATAATAATAATAATAATACTTGATGGGGTGAGGACCCCGGCCCAAGAAAGATTGGGCCAAAGAAGAGAGCCCAAGGCAGGAAAGGTGGGCTAGCATAGGGAGAAGCCCGGAGGGTGCTAGGGCCGAGTCCAGGAATTGGCCCAGGCCCAAGTACGGGGACCTAGCTCAGGATTGCTAAGAAGAGCCCAGCAGGAGCTTGGGCCGAGGGCGAGGAGTCGGCCAGACCCCAAGCCCAGAGAAAGACTCGGCTCAAGGAGCCGTTGAGATCATCAAAGAGACTCTTAAACAGGAACCGTTAGGGAATTAAAAGGCCGGACTTGGTCCGGCTGTTACGAGCTTGAGAGAGCCGTTGGCCGACTCAGTAAAGGCGACCAACGGCTCGATACTTTAATTAGTCTTGAAGTCGGCTATTAAGGGCCTTCAAGTCAGTGGGGGAGGAGCCGCTATATAAAGGCTCCTCCACTCTTGTAGAAGGTAGACACGAAGGAGGACCCGGAGAGGGAATAGAAGAGATTCTAAACAAGCACTTTCTTTCTTTTGACACACATTTTATTGAAAGGTGTATCCTCCAGCTAAAGGTTGTGTTGGACCTCCTTGGGCCTGAAAACTCAAAAACCATCACTGGCGCCGTCCGTGGGGGTCGAAACTAAGAGTCACGTGTCCTCCTGAGCGAGGCGAGTTCAAGAAACGACAAGAAGAATCTCAGTCGAATCAGAAAAGCTCCTGACATGGCAGGAAGTGAGGAACAATTGAGCCGACACGATAACAGACGGGGGCGGACTTGAGAAATCAGTTGAATCGGAGAAACACTCGGAGCCGGGAAAACGAGACAACGCCGCCGCCAACACCACCGATGAATCAACAGCCACCTCAGGTGCAGCTCACGCCTGAGCAACTACGCGCGATTGGGCGTGCCTGTGCCGAGGCGAGCCGAGGAGTAAGAGAACAGTCCGTCACTCGCAATCAGCAGCCATCTCATAGGCCCGATGACCGGCTACAGAACCGCCGGGCCGAGAGCCAGCTGGTACAGTCCATTCATTCTTGGTTGGGCCCGAGCGCCGGACGGCAGTCGGCAAGAGAACGACTGGGTCGGAAGGAACCCAGTCGTGCCCCGTTAGTTACTCGCGATCGCCAAACTGCACGCGAGAAGAACCGTACCAGAAGAACGAGGACTGAGGCTCGTCGCATAGAGCGGCCCGTCCGCAACCATGACCAACCGGCCGAGTCCGAGGTTGGTGAGAGCACGGAATCGACAGGAAACCACACTCGGGAAAGGGTCGAGGTGGCAAATTTAGTCCAAGAAGTGCGAAACCTGAAAGAGCAGATGGAAGGAAAAGCAAAATCCCCAGGACGTACGTTATTAACCGCCTTACCCTTCTCGGACGAGGTCATGGCCTTTAAGATACCGGGTGATTTCAAGTTCCCGGAGCAAGCCACGTTCGATGGGACTGGCGACCCTCGAGAGCACTTGCTGAGCTACCAAGCCAAAATGCAGGTCTTGGGAGTTCGAGACCCGGTCATGTGTCGCGCCTTTTTGCCCAGCTTAAAAGGCCCAGCACAAAGGTGGCTAGTGGCGCAGCGGCCGGGGTCGATTCGTAGCTTCGAAGAACTAGCGGACCGCTTCATGAGCCACTATGCCGCTAATATCAAACCGCAAAAAGATCTGACACACCTAGGCGACATTCATCAGGACGAAGGCGAGTCCTTAAAAAACTTACCTGGCCCGTTGGCAGAAAGAAATCCAGTCTATAGAGGAGGTCGAGGACCAGACGGCACTCACCTTCTTCATCGAGTCCCTGCGATCTGGTCAGCTATACCGAGATCTGCGGGACAATCGCCCGGCAACCTACGCCGAAGCCATTCATATGGCCAACACAGAGCAGGCTATGAAACACAAACGGCAGCATGAAGTCGGCGGATCCGTTAATGGAAAGAGAACGCGAGCCGAAACCAAGGAAAGGCGCCCGGACGTAACCCGACGACCCGAAGTCAGGCGGCCATATGACCGGCCCGTCGCACACCCTTACCGGCCGGCTCCTGAACGGCCGGTGCATGAGATACAAGCGGTCGCTCCGCCTCCGCCTCCGCCGATTGATGATCGCGCGACGAACGAAGAGACGGGTAAGACCTCTAAATATTGTCGTTACCATAAATCTTACACCCACAGCACAGAAGAATGCTTTTACCTAAAGAAGATCATGGAGGGTATCATCCAACAAGGAACCCCGCCTCCTAATCAATGGAGGCGGAGGTCGGCCAATCGAGGGGATGAGGATCCCGTCGCCGCCGCCGAGAGCGGACGGGGCAAGCAGTCAGCATCTGAAGAGGACGAGGCCCAGTGGCGCCAAAAGCCGGTTATCAACATGATAGTCGGCGGGCCGGAAGGTGGAAACTTAGCAAACACTCGAAAGGCCTGGGCTCGACAGCTATATGTTGGGACAGTGTACGGGCGCGAGGAGAATTCTAAGAAGGCGTGCCGAGAGCCTATCATTTTCACCGATAGAGATTTACCGGCTGGAGAGACGCCGCATCGAGACGCATTGGTTATAGCCATGGATATCAAGGGGGTAGTCGTTCGCCGAATCCTGGTCGATACCGGGAGCAGCGTCAACGTGCTATACCTGGAGACCTTCATTAAAATGGGGTTGACCCGAGAACAGCTAAATCCCGTGAAAACACCACTCGCCGGTTTTACGGGGGATTCGGTAGAGGCCGAAGGATCCATCACTCTACCAGTTGAGATTGGCAGTTACCCAGACGTTCAGAAACTCAGTATGAAATTCATCGTGGTAAACCTGGCCTGCTCGCATAACGCTATACTCGGCCGACCGGGTCTGGAAGATCTAGGAGCTCTGATTTCAATCGAGCACCTCTGCCTGAAATTCAATACGCCGAATGGGATAGGTACGGTGCGCTGCGATGGAAAGTCGCTCGAGATTGCTACCTGCAAGCCTGCCGAGGGATGGGCAAGCGTGAGATGCAGGTCCATGAGATCACGGAGAGGCCCCCAAAGAAGACAATGATACCTCGCCCTGAGCCGGCTGTTGAATTGGAGGAAGTCGAGATTGATCCTGGGCAACCGGACAGGCGAGTCCGAATTGGAATCGGTCTCCCTCAGGAAGTGAGAGAAGAAATCATAAAAGTGCTCCGGGAACACCGGCTGGTTTTCGCCTGGGGTCCAGAGGACATGCCCGGTGTCGATCGATCCATTATATCGTACCGACTCGCCGTAGATCCCGGGCATCGACCAGTCGTACAAAAGAAGCGGTACCTGGCCAACGATCGGAAAGAATTCGTAAAAAAGGAGGTAAGCACGCTGCTAGCGGCCGAACATGTCTGAGAGGTCAAGTACCCGGAGTGGCTGGCAAACGTGGTTCTTGTACCAAAACCCCCGGCGTGGCGGATGTGCGTCGATTATACCGACCTCAATAAGGCTTGCCCTAAGGACCCGTTCCCATTGTCGTGAATTGATTATTTGGTTGATGAGACCGCCGGGTCAGCCTTGCTGAGTTTCATGCACTCGGCAGACGAAGAAAAGACCGTGTTTCTAACACCGGACGGGGTCTATTGCTATCGAGTCATGCCCTTCGGGCTTAAGAATGCTGGAGCCACTTACACGCGAATGGTGGCCCGACTGTTCCAGCACTTGCTGGGAAAATCAATGGCCGCGTACGTCGATGACATGCTCGTCAAGAGCCGAGAAGAGAGCAAGCATGCGGAAGATCTGGCCGACTGTTTTAAAGTGATGATAAGATACAATCTCCGGTTGAATCCCAAGAAGTGGCTTTCGCCGTGCAAGGTGGAAAGTTCTTGGGCTATATGGTCACAAAGCGAGGTATTGAGCCTAACCCTGAGAAGGTGCAGGCCATCATCGACATGCAGCCTCCCAGCACCGTAAAAGACCTGCAACGGTTGACTGGCCGACTGGCCGCCCTTAGCCGCTTCCTGAGCAAAGCAGCGGATAAGACTGTGCCTTTCTTCGAGGCCATGAAGAAGAAGAAGGAAGGATTTGCTTGGACCACCGAGTGTCAGCAGTTGTTCGAAGAGTTGAAACAATATCTTTCAACACCTCCGGTATTGTCTACTCCCCAGGCAGGCGAGCCCTTATTTTTGTACTTAGCCGCCTCCTCTAAGGCGGTGAGTTCGGTGCTAGTCCGAGAAGAGGAACGCGTTCAGCACCCGGTCTATTACGTAAGCCGCTCTCTGAAGGCCGCCGAGTTGCGGTATACCGGTCTGGAGAAGATTGTATATGCGTTGGTGATCACCGTGCGCAAGTTAGCGCCTTACTTCCAAGCCCACACCGTACGAGTGCTGACTGACCAACCGCTCGGGAGCGTCTTAAGAAACCCTTCGTCGTCCGGCCGACTGGTGAAATGGGCCGTTGAACTAACCCAGTATGGGATCGAATACCAACCCCGACCTTCCATAAAAGGTCAAGCCTTGGCCGACTTCTTGGTCGAGTGCACGGCGAGCGAAGAAGAGAAGGAACACGCCACTGAGACCAATTTAGGCGAGTGGTGGGAAATGCACGCGGACGGAGCTTCGAGTCGACAACATTGCGGGGGTGGAATTATGCTCATCACCCCGGAGGGATTCCGACTGTACTACGCCTTAAGCTACTTGTTCCCGACATCCAACAACGAAGCCGAATACGAAGCTGTGCTAAATGGTCTCCGACTCGCCAAGACCTTAGGAGTCGAGCGATTGAGAATCAAGACTGACTCCAGGTTGGTAGTTGGGCAGATCTCCGGCGCGTGTGAGGCTAAGAACCCGCGGATGACTTTATATAAAGAGTGGGCGGTCGAGATGTTAAAAGAGTTTGGAGCCTACGAAATAGAATATATCGCCAGGGCAGAAAACGTAGAAGCCGACATATTGTCTAAGATTGCCTTGGAGGGAGTACCGGACAACCTTGTGAAGATCTGCCAGAAGGAGGAGCTGGATCGATCGAGTATCGAGGAAACAACACTAGAAGTCCAGCAGGTGACTGGCAAGGAATGGGACAGGGAGAAAAACCCCGAGATGTTCTGGATAGAGGACATTCGGCGATTCAAAGAAGCAGGCGAATTACCAGAAGATCCGGGGGTCGCCACCAGGGTCCGACAAAAAGCCCCCTCTTTCGAAATTGTTGATGGACAACTGTACAAACGGTCATTCGGAGGTCCTTTGTTGAGATGCTTGCTCAGGCCCGAGGCCGAAGAAATAATGGACGAGGCTCAAAGAGGCATCTGCGCTGCGCACCAGGGCGCCCACACGCTCGCCCGAAAGTTAGTCGTTCAGGGGTATTATTGGCCGACTATGATGCGAGATTGCATCGAGTGGATATTCAAGTGTGGCGTTTGCCAAGCGTTCGCCCGAAAGGACACTCGGCCGGCTACCTTCTACACGCCGGTCACCACGGCTATTCCATTTGCTAAGTGGGGAATCGACTTGTTGGGGCCGCTACCAACAGCCCCTGGTGGCCTGAAATTTTGTGTCGTAGCTATCGACTACTTCACCAAGTGGGTTGAGGCTGAACCGTTGGCCACTATCACCGAGTACCAATGCCGACGCTTCCTATGGAAGAGGGTGATTTGCCGCTTCGGCTTGCCGGAGCATATTGTCAGCGACAATGGGCGACAGTTCGACTGCCAGGCGTTTGCTGACTTCTGCCGCCGACACGATATCCGCCATACCAAGGTATCCGTGGCGTACCCACAGGCCAACGGGCAAGTCGAAAATGTGAATCGGACCATAGTTGATGGAATCCGAAAGAAATTGGAAGATATCGGAGGAAATTGGGCGGACGAGCTTGACCGAGTCCTATGGGCTTATCGCACTACGCAGCGGCGAGCAACCGGAGAGAGCCCATTCTCCCTCGCGTACGGCTTCGAAGCTAAGGTCCCAATTGAAGTGGTCGAGCCCACTAACCGGGTCCGCACTTATTCCGACACGGAGAATGAAGAAAGTCTTCAGATTGAGAAAAATTTCCTAGAAGAGAGAAGGGAAGCCGCGAGTGCTCGGATGGTCGAATATCAGCAAGCGGTGAAAATATATTACGACCGGAGGATTCGCCCACGAACCTTCCAGGTTGGCGACCTCGTCTTGCGAGACCGACAGGCGAGCCAGCCCACGGAAGGAGGCAAGTTCGCGGTAAAGTGGGAAGGACCCTATCGCATTGCCGCGGTGGTCCAGGCCGGCACTTACAAGCTTGAAACTCTGGAAGGCAAGCCCGTGGACCGAATATGGAATGTCATCCACTTGAAGAAATTCTATCAGTAGAGAAGGTTAGACCATGTATAGGCCCGAGGGTACTGAAAGACTTGAATAAAAGAGTATGAATTACTGTTAACTACCGCCCGGACTCGGCGAGAAAAGTTAGGGAACAAGGGCCCAGACCCTTAGACGTTTCCGTGAAAAATCCAAGAGGAGTCGCCTCGACTGAGGGACTCGGCGAGTATATAAAGAAACAGCGGGACACTGACCCCAAAACGTTTCTGAGAAAGAAAAAGCCTAAGGAGTCGCCTCGACTGAGGGACTCGGCGAGAAAAGTTAGGGAACAAGAGCCCAGACCCTTAGACGTTTCCGTGAAAAAGCCAAGAGGAGTCGCCTCGACTGAGGGACTCGACGAGTATATAAAGAAACAGCGGGGCACTGACCCCAAAACGTTTCTGAGAAAGAAAAAGCCTAAGGAGTCGCTTCGACTGAGGGACTCGGCGAGAAAAGTTAGGGAACAAGGGCCCAGACCCTTAGACGTTTCCGTGAAAAAGCCAAGAGGAGTCGCCTCGACTGAGGGACTCGGCGAGTATATAAATAAACAATGGGGCACTGACCCCAAAACGTTTCTGAGAAAGAAAAAGCATAAGGAGTCGCCTCGACTGAGGGACTCGGCGAGAAAAGTTAGGGAACAAGGGCCCAGACCCTTAGACGTTTCCGTGAAAAAGCCAAGAGGAGTCGCCTCGACTAAGGGATTCGGCGAGTATATAAAGAAACAATGCGGCACTGACCCCAAAACGTTTCTGAGAAAGAAAAAGCCTAAGGAGTCGCTTCGATTGAGGGACTCGGCGAGAAAAGTTAGGGAACAAGGGCCCAGACCCTTAGACGTTTCCGTGAAAAAGCCAAGAGGAGTCGCCTCGACTGAGGGACTCGGCGAGTATATAAAGAAACAATGGGGCACTGACCCCAAAACATTTCTGAGAAAGAAAAAGCCTAAGGAGTCGCCTCGACTGAGGGACTCAGCGAGAAAAGTTAGGGAACAAGGGCCCAGACCCTTAGACGTTTCCGTGAAAAAACCAAGAGGAGTCGCCTCGAATGAGGGTGTAACACCCCGTGTTACGACCCCTAAGATCAATTAAATCATTTAATCAATTACCCAAAAGAAAGAATTAAAACACAATAATTAATTAGGAAAGGCCCACCATAGTCCACGGGCCCTTATCCCTAAACCCAACCCTTAGTCCCAAAAGAAATAGAATTAGCAAGCTCATAATATTAGTTCCCAACTAGGACTCCTAAATATATAAATAGGGGACTTAAGAGGCACCTAGAAACCCCCCCACAAGAATAACGCCCCACCTCCCCAAAGAGCTCCAAGAATCCCCCTAGAAGAAATCAAGAAAGCAAGAAAGCTTAAAGAAAGACCCTTTATAGCCAAGGAATTAATTAAGGCTAAGAGGTAACCCATGTCTCAACAAAACCTATTTTCATAGCTATGATTTCCCCCGTAGGATTTCCCCATATTATTGTGTATTGATGATTTGTGATGTTATTATTGATGACTGATGGGATAATTCCATGGGTGATCTTGATATCGGGAGATTCTTGATAATTATGGTGTTCTTAACGATTACGTGGAGTTCTTGATAATTATATGTTGTTCTTGATAATTGTATGGCGTTCTTGATACTTATGTGTTATTTGTACCGAATCTTGTAATTAGAAGACGAATCGAATTCTTGTTGGCATAAAAGTGATTAGAACCCTAGGTTGTATCGTATGGAATTATTCTTGGTATATTGGGTGGGAATTCGCATGATTGGGTGTTTATTATGTTTAGAAAAGCATGATAGGTTATGTGCCGATTGTTTCCTGATTTTGATCCGTTAATTGTTTACGTGTGTTATCAATTGCGCTTGAAAGTGTCCAAGCATGGTTTCGGGTTCCACAAAGGTTCCCGGGGCGTTTCTTGATGAAAAGAGTCAGTGGGAGGTAGGTGGGGGTAGGGGACCCACCACCTACCCGCGGCCTCCTTGGGCAACGCCGGCAGCGGGCAGCCGGCGGGCAGGCAGCTGCCCGGCGGGCACCCGCTGCCCGGTTTTGTTACCGCCGGCGGGCAGCCGGCGGGTGATCCCTCACCCACCGGCTACCCGCTGGTTTGCACCCCAATTGGGGATCTTGGCTTCCCCTTTTGATGTTTCCCCGACCCCCGAGGTGTCCCAACGGACTCCGTCTATCATGCCTATGTCTAGTTTGATATTACGGGTACCGTTCGTAGGTTGTATGAGTCTTATATATTGCATGCTAGTTGAATTGGTATCCCGCTGACCTAGGTGAAAGGAGTATGAACCCCTTAGGACTATTCTTAGCATGTGAAGGATCACGCATAGGTTTTGCTATACGTTTCCTCCCCTTCCCAATATGTTAATGTGGGTTGCATGTGCTTGCTACGTGTTATGTGTGCGTGTCACCCCGAATTGGTTGAGATCAATCGGGCTATACGGGCAGTCGGGTGGGCTGAGAACCATACCGGCTGTTAACCAGGCTGGTAGAGACCGGTCAGGTATATAAATATTATATAGGACTAAGTTCCACTATACGGGCAGTCGGATGGGCTGAGAACCATACCGGCTGTTAACCAGGTTGGTAGAGACCGGTCAGGTATATAAATATTATATAGGACAAAGGTCCACTATACGGGCAGTTGAATGGGCTGAGAACCATCCCAACTGTTAACCAGGCTGGTAAAGACCGGTCAGGTATATAAATATTATGTAGGACAAAGGTCCATCAGTCGGTTGCGATCGGCTCCTCCGTAATGTGAGACGGGGCAGGGTGCTGCGGGGCTGTGTCAGAGCTATATGCGCTGACCCTCATGTATGGGCATGCGATTGGTCCTGTGGCGCCAACAAAGTGTGCTATGTGATGAGATATGGAGGAGTTGTGTTTATGAGTATACTGGGGGATGTGACTAAGAGATTTATGCTGGGGATTGTTTACATTGGGTTATGATTATTAATTGTGCTCAGCTCTATCTGTCTTGCCTGTGGAGGATTGTATACGCCTGTTATAACTATCGCTTGTGTCTAGCCTTGTCTGTCGAGTCATTCCCGGTTTTAAAAGCTAGAGTCTCATAGGATATATCTTCATGCTTCAAAATGGTTTTCGTATATCTATATATATATCTCTATATGTATTGTATTTCAACGCGTTGGAGTGGGTTACCAGCATCTCTCGCTGAACAGATATATTTGGCTTTCAGGCACAGAAGATTAAGTCACTGGAGTGCGCTAGAGCTTGGAACATAGAAGTAGTTAGTTTCCCTTTCGGCCTGCGTGCCATGTTTATGCATTCATATCATTGAGACATTAGTTAGTTAGCCTGTGCACCTGAGTTCTCTAGCTCAGGTGTGGCATAGCACCCTGTACACTCGTACTCTGTTTGGGATTTAATGAGATTTCACCTTTATTTTATAAGTTTTAAATATCTTGAAAATCTGGGGTGTTACAGTTGGTATCAGAGCCTAAGTTTGACCCTAGGATAAGACTCTTAAGACCGGACTTTAAGACAATAGGCTCGAACTCTAAGTATCTAGGAACATAAGATTCAGGAAACTTAGGACACGCGGTGAGATTGTGAAACCTACACATAAACTCCCTTACCTGGAGAAAACTTTCCCCCTTTATCACAAAGAAGGACACCAAGCCCCAATTTAACGTTCTTATAAACATTGACCCAGGAAGACGACATCATGGCACCCAACAGAAGACAATCAAGGACTCCAGAACCCGCCGCGCACGACCCCCTAACCCAAACACTACAACAACTAACACAAGTCGCCCAAGCACTAAGCAACGTAGCTCTCCGCAGCGACAGGCCCCCACCACCTCCGTCGAACGCGAACACCGACTTCGCCCGACAAGTCTCTAACCACCGACCACCCACATTCTCAGGAGAGGAGGATCCCGTAATTCTGGAAGAATGGATCCGAACCCTTGACAAAATCCTCGGGTTAGTGGAATGCCCAGAAGAACGCCGCGTGGAGATAGCCTCGTTCTACTTCCGACACGAGGCCGATCTCTGGTGGATCCACGAGGGTCCCACTTACCAACAAGAACCGGGGTTCAACTGGGAACAACTCAAAACACGACTACGAGAGAGGTTCTACCCAACACACGTGAGAGCGTCCATGTACGAGGAGTTTCTCCATCTGAAACAAGGGACAGCTACCGTTATGGAATACCACAAACGATTCCTTGAACTAGCACGCTTCGCACCCGAACTTGTCCCCACCGAGGTAACCAAAATAGAGAGATTCGTATCGGGCCTCAACTTTGAAGCCCGAAAAGCACTAGTGGTAAGCAGACCTCGGACTCTCAACGAGGCTTACTCCAGTGCCGCCAATCTCTACCGAATCCAACTACTCCAACGCGGGGTTCAGGAGTAAATGCGGAAGAGGAGCCCCGGAGGAGGGGCGCCACCAGTAAAAAGAACAAGAAGTGACACCAACACGAGACCCGGCAACCCGACCAACCAAAGGCCACCTCGGGAGAACAACGACGCTAGCGCCAGGGGCTTTCCTTGCCCGAAATGCAACAAGAACCATAGAGGCAAGGATTGCATGGGCAAACCCTTGCGATGCTTCAACTGCGGATATGAAGGACACAAGGCCTTCCTTTGCACCCAACCCCAAAGGCCACGCACTACCACCATGGGACAACATGGGGGCACCACTCATCAAGGAAACTACGGCACTCTCGGAAAAATATTCGTCATGAGCCGCACTCAAGCCGATCTCGGGAACGAGAGCGATCTCGAGGAGGGGAACCTAAGCCCAGAAGACGAGGACCACGCAAACCCCATGGGAGAAAGCCAAGAAGACGAATTTTGCCTAGGTTAGGTTGGCAATTTCTTGTAATCACCTTCGTGGTAGAATTACTTACTTAGCTTAATTACTTGGAAATATTATAAATAAAAGATTAGTTCATAATTCGGTTCTATTTGCAAACTAGCCAAACCTCACCACTAGAAGCCGAAATAAGGAAAAAGACAAGGGCCCCATCATC